TGATACTCATTCAGATTCAACTTTCAGATACAGTTCAGATATGCTCCAGACACAGATGCCATTCTGATACTCATTCAGATTCAACTTCCAGATACATTTCAAATACGCTCCAAACGCAGATGCCATTCTGATGATCATTCAAAACCATCTCCCAGATACAGTTCAGATACACTCTAGACACGGACGCCATTCTGATACTCATTCTTTCAGCTTACAAATTACAATACAAACAATCACTTTTGGATGACATCTTTAAGCCCATCTCCTACAACTTTCAATCACCTCTCCAAATGGTATCTTTAAGCCCATCTCCTACAACTTTATATAACCTCTCCAAATGGCATCTTTAAGCCCATTCCCTCTAACATCACATCGCTGAATGCAAATTTTTGGGCACTCTAGTATCCAATCATCTTCCACCTTCGAGTCACGAATGGAAAAACTCGCCAATCTAACTCTTCAGGTTTAAGAAGATTGAACAAGGGCAGTTGTTGTACCCCAAAATTTTCCCTCTCACTTATCAAGAATTTTCTCACAAGATCTCCTTGGGTTCAAGACTGCACTAGGGTTTGATCAGCTCAAGACACCTCCTTAGGCACTGATGACCAGAATTAAGATTTGAGTTTGCACAAGGACATTTGAACTTTAAATGCCTCATATGACTTTCATGAGTCATTATTGACTCCCAAGATTACTCATGTCAAGATTCAAGCCTTGGATCACACTTTTGACCAGTCAATTAAACAATTGACCTAAAAATCAGTTGTATTGGGGAAAAAGTCAACCATGGCCAATTTACAGTCAAACTTCATAATTTTTGATCCACATCAACATTTTAAACTCATATGTATCATTTGATCAAGTTTGAACCATAAATCTTCAAGAAATTTGATCAAGTCTCCAAAAGGGCAAAATGGTCAAAATTAAGGTTTTGACTGGGAAAGGGAAATTTCTGGTTTTTGACCTAGCAAATGGTCAACTGGTTTAAGGCATGATCTCAAGAGACCAATTGCATCATTTTTACCTAATTACATGGTTCAAAATATTACAAATCCATTAGATGGACAAATGAATTTTGCAGTCAACTAATCAAAAGTCAACTGTATACTGAAAAGTCAAACTTTGACTTTTTGGTCAAATTCAAGTACCAAAGATCACAATTCATCAAAATATGTCAAAATAGGAAACTTATTCATCAAGAAATCAAAAATCAAGATTTCATTTTAAAAAGTCAAAATTTCTAAACTTGGAAATTTTTCTAAGTGTCAAAAATTTCTTATTTTTTCTTAACTTTGAGCAATTTTTTTATTATGATGCAAGATGATTCAAAGGAAACTTCCAACATGAAAGTTGTAGATATCCATGAAATCTACAACTTTTCTTCATACAACTTCTCCTAAAAGTGCTTGGATCTCAAGTTATAATTTTATGAATACATGCTCATGGACTAAAAAAGACAGTGAAATTTTGCCCTAGTTAGGCAGATTTTTGACCTAACTTCATGGCAATTTTTCATATAGTTCCGAGGGGAATCTTCAAAAGCAATTCAAAGATGAGTTTAAGAGAACATTGCAATATTTCCAAAATATCCAATAAGTCCTTGAGATCATTCTTGAGTAGGGAGAATCGAAGAGATGAAGTTGGTGTTTTATCACTTGAATTATAGGTCATTTTCATGATGAACACAAATGCAAATCAATGTTAGGCTGCATAATCTTTGTTTTGCATGTCTCAAACTTGTTTGTCACTCCATAATTAATGGATTACACAAACTTTTGAGCTATAATCCAAGTGATTTAAGCTTTATCCAATTCACATTGCCATTTTGGGAAGAAAGTTAACAATACCATTCTTGAAAAACAAGCTTTATGCATAAAGTCCACTCTTAAGCCTCTAACTTGTTCCCTCTGATCACACTTCATCTACAAAGTCAAAAGCAAGTATGTTTAAAGCATAACCACTCTATCTTAGCAAGTACACAAAGCATTGAAACTTGTTTTCTCAAAAATCACATGTTATGCATAAACATGTAATTTCAAATTCTGATCAACAACAAGTCTCCAAACTTGTTGCTTATAAATAGAAGCACTATTTGTGAGCTAGGACACGAGATGAAAGACCCTAAAACTCACTCAAATTCCCTCTATCCAGAAATTGTCTCAAAACACCATTGTTGTGCAAGTTCTGACTTTACATACCAAACTCTAAATCTCCTCGTGCGTTCTTTGGCCTTTCACTTCCAAAAGCTTCTAAACATCAAATACAAACCATCCAAAGTCCATTTGCTCAACTGTAACACCTCCATCATCAAGTTCCATTTTCAAAAACAGGGGTCTGCAACTTGACTTCTCCAGAGCTCCTCAGCCACTTTCAGCTCAAGCTAATCATTGCATTAGCTTCCTGGGATCTCAAGAAAGTTAACCTGATCCTTGCAACACTTTGAATCAAGCTCATTTGCATTTCACGATTTCCAGTTTTGAGGTATTTTTCTTGAACTTCTATCTCATTACTTAGGCATTGTTAGGCTTGCATTTGTGAAGATAAAATGTAGACCCCATTGCCACGAAGCTGTACATATCCATAGTTTGCATTTACATGGCCTGAGCTTAGAATTTTAGAGTTGAAGTTTCTAAAATTTTTAGGGTTCAAATTAGGGCCAGAGAAATTCTCATTTATCTTTGACTTTTAGCTTTATTTATTTACATGGTTAGATTCGTGAGGAAGAATGCAACAACTTTCATTTTGTCATCTTCCATTTTTGTTGAGAAATGAAAAAGTTACAGGTACACCGACTGGAGGTTGAAGATGAAGTCATCAGGACTTGATTTGTCTTACATATTTATTGTTTTGTTTATATAAACGGATGTATAGCCACCCCAGTGGTAAAGCGCGCGCCTGTTAACCTATGGGACCTGGGTTCGAGCCCTAGTGGTACCCTTTTTCATGTTTTCATATTTTTTGACATTTCTGATTTATTTTGTTTGCAGGCGCTGGGCCCTTTGGCCCTGGCTCTTTTTTTGTTTTTTGCTGATTAACTCCCTGCCTACTTCATGCACCCCCTGACCCATTTGTATTTATTTATTTATTTATTGTATTTTTCTTTTTAAATATATTTTCTAAAATACTAAAAAATCATAAAAATACAAAAAATAATATATTTTATATTTTGACTTATTTTATTTTATTTTTCCATAAACAAAAAAATATTTTATTTACTATACTTTATTTTTTTTTATTAACTAGATCTTATAGACTTAATTAATATTATATTATTTATTTTTCTTCATACCATTTTAAAATATATTATTTAAATACTAAAAAAAAGACTAAAAATATTTTTAATGCTATAAATATTTTCAAGATAAAAAATGTGAAAAAAATACTTTCCTTAAATTATTTTCTTTTGATTGATTAATAGAATTAGGGTTTTCTTTTAAAATCTTTTTCTTAATAAATTCAAATTTAATTAACTATCTTCTTTATTTAAATTAGGTTAAGACAAAAATCTTTTTATAAAAGAAAACAAACAAAATTCATTTTCCTTGTATATTTATGCAATTCAATATGGTTGTAATAGATAAATAGATTTACTTTCTTGCAAATTTCCATTTGTAATTTGTATACCCATCTCCTAAATGATGTAATAGCGTAGTAATTTTAATTCTCGCAATTTATCGCTTTATATAACAAATGCTAGTAATTATATAACAAATGCTAGTAATTAGGGTTTTGTATGGAAAGATTAAAACTAACCAAATAGCAAACCCTAATTCAAGACAAAATCAAGCATGAAAACAATACACTTGCACACAAGCACCCCTAGGGTTATCCCATTTGGTTGCCTTATACAAAATGGCTATATTACGCATGTAAGGTATCTTAGCAAAAACAAGCAAATACAAGATCATAGTCCCTCGATGACGCTATCTAAGTTTCCTTACAAATGATCTTAGTCCCTAAAAAAGAATGCTAAGATACCTTGCAACATTGCTAATCATGGTTATACGATGACCCACGTCCGTCCCGTTTACATTCAAATATAGGGTTGCTTACCAAATCAATGGTAAGACAACAATGTCAAAGGAAAAGAAAATGAACAAGAAGGACATTTGAGTAGGTAGATTGCTCCTAATTACTCGCTCCATTTAAAAACAAACATCCTTGCTATTTTCAAAAACAATCACATACACTTTCAAACATCTTACAAAATTGAAAACATTTTCAAAAGATCAACATCTTTGTATACATTCTTATGAACGAGAATCATTACAAAGATTGCCTAAACAATGACCTCTTTACAAAATACTTTCAAAAACCACACAAAACACAATTTCAAACAAAAGCAAGTGATCTAGCAAGTAACTAAGAGCCCATGGAAAATCATGGATGAAAAGGGTGCTAATACCTTCCCTTTTTATAATCTACCCCCGAACTCAAGAAACAATCTCAAAGGTCTTTCCTGTGCTTTTTCACCTTTCTTTTTTGGATAAAAGAAAAATCGGTGACGACTCTTGTTAACCGCAACATTTACGATCAAACACAAAACTTTCAAATCAGTTCTCCCACTATATCACACATAGCAATTTCGACACCCATAATAAAGAGTCATTCACCTCGAAACACCACCCAGAGTCATCATTTTTACTAAGTATTTTCTTAGCTCTCTTCCTTGTGTGGAGTTCATTATGTTTGAAATCCATGCTAATAATGGTATGCTCATTTAAGGGTAGAAAGAACATTTTCCCTTCATTTTAATGGATGAATAGTTGATTCATACTTAAATGACAAATCCAATCTAGTAAAACAGCCCAATTGATAAACACAAGGCAACAAGAACAACCAAACCTTTAGTCATTCTTCTTTCTTCTCTAGACTAATCTGAACTTTCTCAGTCTCAAGTCTTGGTGAAATTATCCACATACGAAGAATTATTTTCCACTATTCAATAAATCTCTAACTTCAATTAATCCTCCTATGCTACTTCACTTTTCATAATCCATATGGCTTTCACTTCCACCCTCTCTATCTCCTCACACCCGCAACCGCAACCGCAAGTAAGTAACTAACCAACTAACCAACCGCTTCTCTTTCTTCTCTATCCAAACCCTAACGCGTTCTCTCTCCTCTCGCAGCTTCGCCTCCGCCAAAACCGCTCGCAGTATCTGGCCGTAACCGCCGTCCAATTCGTCTGGCTTCCGCCTCTAAAGAGGCGGAGAGCCTTTGCTTTGGGAGTGTCTTCTAGAAGCTTCGTGGTTAGGGCTGCCTCTAGTGTTCCTTCGGCACGTGCTTCTGGTTCTCGTAGAGTCTATCGCGAGTCTCAGGCTAATGCGACTCTCTCCGTTGCTACTGTTAAACAGATTGCAACCGCTGTTGCTCCGTTTGGTGTCTTCTTAGCAGTCACATTCGGTATTCAATTCATTTCCTAGTTTTCTATGTTTTGTAATGCTATTTTCATGATTATTTGGGAATCAGGATTGGTTCTATAAGTTGGTGTAAATAATGCAATTTCTTCAACATTAGTTTAATTTATAAAATTTTCAAATTATCATCGGTGTCGACGTGTCAGTGTTTATATTGTGTCTGGTGTCCGTGTCTGTGTCCGCGCTTGATAGGTAGTTTATAGGGTATCCTGTTTCACATTTGTTTTTGAAATTGCAATTATTGGGCGAGGAGGGTGGTGCAATAATAGATAGGATAGGATATGTGTATGATAGGATACCATAAACATCATTCATGAATTTCATATGTATCATTATTGTTAAACATTTATGATAAGAATTTTATAGTTGTGTCATTGTGTGATTGGTGTAAAAAAAATGAGCATCATGGGAATGATAGAAAGCTGTAACAAACGAAGCTTCTTGTGTAATTGTGTAGTTGATGTATAAAAAGATCATTGAGGTATGATCATTGTGGTGGTACTAATTTGTTTTCAGCTTACAGTTATCTGGAAGTTGGCGGAGAAGCTTCTTGTTCCAACTCCAAAGCAATCAAAGTCTACATCCGGTGAAAGCCAGTCTCCTTCACAAGGATTGAAATGGTCATTTGCTGCCGGTACAAATTTGTTGTCTCAGCTTGGGGCGAAGATTGAGAGACAATCTCAACAGAAACTTAACGAGTTTGCTCGAGAACTGAGGGCATTTCCATTTATTGATATGTCAGGTATGCTGGCTATTAATATATATGAAAAATAATTTTTTGGTTGCGTGATATGCTTCTAATTTAGTTAGTGTGGTATCTGTGTAAAATTTTCAAAATAGTGCTGTTCTTGTACCATTCATGGATCGTGCCTCTCAATTTTGTTGTGTTCTTTGTCTTATATACTTGTTTTTTCTCTCAAAAATTTCGTGGGGTTTGACTTGATTTTCCTAATGACATACATTTGGTTGTTTGATATGCTTGTAGTTTAGTAAGTGTGGTTTCTTTGTGTAAAATTTTCAAAAAAGTGCTGTTATCGTACCATTCATGGCTCGTGTCTCTCAATTTTGTTGTGTTCTTTGTCTTCTCAACTTGTTTTTCTCTCAAAATAACGTTGAGGGATTTTACTTGATTTTACAAATGAATTACGTTGTTAGAGAGTTATGAGTTAGAAGTTGATTTGGTTTTGAAATCTCTGCTTTAAGTGTCTACTTAAAGGTCCATTCAAATTTTGTTGGACTAGATTTGGTTATAGTGCTAATTATTTGATTGATGATCTTGCTCTACTTAGTTTAGTCGTTCTACATTCCGACCACATTCGAAACAAGATCAATAAATGAAGTTACTAAAAAAAAATTAGTTCCATTTTCTTTTTAGGGTATTCCAAGTATCAAATTTGTTTTGAAAATCAATATAAATATTTTTTTACATTAAGATCCATACATATAAATTGATTCATTAATGAAAGCAAAGAAATTTTGTATTTTAGGTGTTACAGACCTGTCAGATATTTGCTTTATTGCATTCGACTCTATTGACATGACCCTTTTTAACCTGCGTGTACTGTTTTCATAAAAGCATTTATAAAAAAAATTCAGTTATCATACATATAATGTGGCAGGGCGCAATTTTGGAGATGAAGGATTATTCTTTCTTGCAGAGAGCTTGGCATTCAACCAGGTAACTACTATCCTTTATTTTTCAGATTGTTGTTGAAAATTAAATTGTGGTGTGTTACCCACACAGGTATATCCATGAATTATCTTGAGTATTCATTGCTTCAGCTACTTAGTAATTGAATCAATTTTAATATAACGACTTTCAAAGACAAAAATAATTATTTCATTGGACTCAAATATCTGACTTTTTTTCTCATAGAAGCATAATAGGGGCAGCAAGGATGTAGTTGTATGTTGTAATTTGTAACTGTTTGATTATTATCAATCAGCGGGCAAATATGGATATATGGCAAATGACAACTTGTATTCAAAATGACACATTATGCATTGACATGCAGGAAAAACATATGTTTAAGACATGAAAGCAGTTCTATTTATTTATTTCTTACATTGATGTTTTTAAGAAAATTGAGTAACTAAAATTATTAAGTATACCTACTCACAACATATTTCTTAATTCAAAAAATCATAATGGATTAATGGGTGTAATCGCTGTTGAATATTTCAACATTTTACTTTAAATATCCTTCTATGACTTGCAAGGTGTGATTAACAACTTAGATCTTTAGGGCTTACTCGGTTTGAGAAATGTTTCTAGTTTGCATTTTCTGTTTTCACTAATAATTACAAGATTTGACATCTTGTTTTCTCTAACTACTTGTTATGAAAATTTTGTATTGGAAATTACTATTTCCTTTTATCGTGTACGATACAATTTTTTTAAGGGTAATGCACGTTAAGATCTAAATAAAGTAATTTTATCTTGAAAATTGTGTATAGAATTTATTACAAGCATATAATAAAAAATTTTAATTATTTTTTCAAGACAAAAAACAAAGTGAAATCATTTTTGTAGTTACTAGTGAAAACACAATGTTCGGTAAACCAAATTCACTCATAGTTAGACGCTCTGCAGCTTAAATGATATGGAAGGGTGTGATCCTAATATGAATGAGTTCAAGGGTCAGGTGGGCCATGTTTGAAAAAATGTGTTAAAAGTTGAGTTATAAATCAGTGATACCATTTGAAACTTGTAGCTAACAGTTGGCTGCAGGTGTTTCATCATTTGTTTCTCAAAATGAAGAGTTCTGCTTCTTAAAGTACTAAATCATCTTGTTACTGATCTAACCATATAGTTTGCAATTCATGATGTGTTTTGGTGTTATGTCTGTGTGCATGTGCTAACTATATTTTGTTATATATACTTATAGACTGCAGAGGAAGTGAGTTTTGCTGCAAATGGAATAACTGCTGCTGGAATGAAAGCTTTTGATGGTGTTCTTCAATCAAACATCACGCTGAAGACTCTTGATCTTTCAGGGAATCCTGTTGGAGATGAAGGAGCTAAGGTCCGTCTTATGTATTTAGATTTATTACATCTCTTAATTTGGGATTTGGATTAATTATTATTACCATTTCTTCCCAGTATTTTTCTTAACTAATTTGAATGTTTCCTTACCAGTATTTCTCTCAATATCTCTCATCAAGTTCCCTCAACTAACTACCCAAATTACATGTAAATAATCCTAAGCACATTGACTCTCCTTTATTCTACACTTTTGTAGTAAATAGTAATAGTAATGGAGGACAAATTGAGGCTAATCTTATGTGGCAATTATTATTATTATTTTTATTTCAAGCTCTTTTTACGTACAATCAAATACTACACTTTTGTAGTAATAGTGATGTGATGAAGGACAAAATGAGACTACTCTTGTGTGGCAATTTTTTTTTTTTAAATTTCAAGCTCTTTTTACGTACAATCAAATGTATAGTATTGCAAATTATCCAAAAGAATGCCTAGTTATCTTAAGGGACAAACCAATTTAAATTAATAACTTTTTGGAAATTCCTCCTTTATTATGGTCCGCAAATAGCCGCCTAACTGCGGCATTTGGGTTGCCTTCATAGCAGCCCCCAACACCTTATTGTGTTGGGTGTGAAAAAGTGGATTTAGTTCCACATTGCCCAGAGGTAGAGTCTGTAGTGTTTATAAAACTTGGACAATCATCACCTTATAAACCGGTTTTGTAAGGTTGAGTTATAGACTAAGATGGTATTAGAGCCCATTTTAGATATGTTTCTGGGCTTCTCGCATCATCACGCTCAAGCTCATTGGGGATCCTGTTTAACGGTGTGTTGGGAATTCCGTCTTCATTGTGGTCCGCCCTTAGCCCCCTAATTGTGGCATATGGGATAACTTGATACTAACTTGAATTATTGATTTTATTGATACAAAAGACTAATTACTATTCTCTATTTATGGGGATATATAGACTCATTCTGAACAAATATGCTAAGGCTCTGTTTGGCAAGACACTTTTTGAGCTTATAGCTTATAGCTTATAAGCTCATATAACAATAAAAGGCCTGTTTGGTAACAATTTTTTCATCACGAGCTTATAGCTTATTTTACTAGTTTATAGTTTATTTTCCAAACGCTATTTCAAATAGCGTTTTAGCTTATAGCTTATAGCTTATAGTTTTTCCTTCCATTTTTACTCTTATTATTTTATCTAAAATCCAGAACTATCCTTTATTATTTATTTTAATTTAAAATAAAACAGTTATATATTAAATGTCTTTTATGTCATTTTAATTTATCAACTAATTGAACCGCTAATTTTACCAAACAATTCAATTAGCTTATCAGCTATAAGTCGTCAGTCATCAACCATTAGCTATAAGTCGTCAGTCATCAACCATTAGCTATAAGCTATCAGTCATAAGCTATAAGCTATCAGCTAGCTTATCACCCAACCGCTATTTTTACCAAACGGAGCCTAAGACTAAAAATTGATTCTAGTCACTAAACCAAGATATTATGAGATTTTTATTTTATTTTTCTAAATATCAATTAAACCTACTGTGTCTTTGCTAAGGCTAGTTAATTTAATGATTCATCCAAGTGCCGGCGAGTTATATGATTTTTTAAAGTTATTCAAAGATTTATTTGCGACTGTTTGAGCGTGTGTTGATAATCTGCAATCCTTCAATCATACATAGTATGACAATGACAGCAATAGACAGGAGTGGCTATGATGCCATGTTTTTTTTTATTGACTGTACTTGGTAAAATATTCCCATTACTCTTTATATGCTTGTGAGCATCTTAGACTAAAGATCGAGAAACTTATTGTTTACTTAACTAACCATGACAATTTGATAACTCTTAGAGCTATGTTTGACTGATAGAGAACATATCATGTGGCTTTGGCTTTTATGATGACCTACCTCTTCCCTCTCAAGCAAGTAACAAAGTAATTGTTGGCAAGTATAGCTGACCATTGTCTAACACCTGTGGTTTAATATTGTATTCACATTCTTGTTCACAGTGCCTATGTGACATACTGATGGGTAACTCCACCATTGAGAAGCTCCAGCTAAACAGTGCTGACTTGGGGGATGAGGTTAGCTTGGTATTAGGTATTATTCATAGAGTGCCTCCAACATTGCACTGAGAATTGCTCGCTGTGTTATGCAGGGTGCAAAAGCTATTGCAGAAATGCTGAAAAATAATTCGAGTTTGCGGGTGCTTGAACTTAACAACAACATGATCGAATATTCTGTATGCTTTTTGCCGAAGCTTTCAATTTTGTAGACGCTCTCAAGTATTCAATTTTTTTAAAAAGAAGTTTGTTTCTTGGAATTGGAGGTAGGGATTTACAAGCCTGGCTGGAGCACTTCTTGAGAATAACAGCATAAGAAATATACATCTCAAGTAAGCTAGAACTGTAACATTATGTCTTCTCCTAGAACTTTTCTTCCCCTAATCTTCCTTTTTTGAAATGGAGGGGATGAAAGGTCGATTTATTGCTTTCATGCTTTTGATATTGTAACTTTTACTTGAATTGTTTCATGAATTAAATTTTAGCATTCCATTACTTATTAATTTTCTTCTTTATGAATTTTTCTGACATTTTTTCTACTCCAGTGGCAATTATGGTGGTGCATTGGGGGCTAATGGATTTGCTAAAGCACTTGAGAGAAACAAGTCCCTAAGGGTACGATTCTTAATTATTTTATTTCCAATGAAGTGGGCAACCTTATATTCTTCCCAAGTTTTAGTTATAACTTCTGGAACAAATCAAAATTTCTGAACAATAAATCGAACTTTCCAAATCTTACGTATTCTGCTATCACAATGACAAAATGTTTTGGAATCCAGTTGAAGTATATCTTGCTAAATGCTTCCTTAAACAAGCATGCTTTACTCTGAATATATCCACAGGAACTACATTTGCATGGAAATTCTATTGGTGATGAAGGAATTCGTTCGTTGATGACAGGATTGGCCTCTCATAAAGGTAAACTTATACTATTTTCTGATATTGACCATGCCATTTATTCATCAATAATGCCACTTCAACATTTAGAAGTATCTGACGGGCAATACATGTTTTCAAGGGAAACTTTCACTTCTAGACATTGGCAACAACTCATTAACAGCTAAAGGTGCATTCTATGTTGCTGGGTATATTAAAAAGGTCAAAAGCCTGTTGTGGTTGAACATCTACATGAATGACATTGGTGATGAGGTACTCTTCTCACAGTCACTCCTTATTTTCACATACTTGGTGTAACATTAATACAATTCTTGTCAAAATGTGTTAGGAATGTTTCGACCAGAATGTCATTACAAAGTGTGAAAGTCATGCAATAAATAGGACTCCGAAGATGTATAAGTATTATACTGATAGGATATTATAGATTCCTGATTTTTTATTCATAACTGTTGTCCAATTTATGTTGCCTCCTATAAACCAGTTTTGTGTATCTTCAATAAGAAACTTAGACAATAAATTAGTATGTATAAAATAAACTTTATCAGGAGAAAAATGGATAGACGGTGGCTGTGGTGTGTATGGCCATTCATGAGAGACCCATTTTCCTTTTATATTCACAATCTTACTAACAACTTACAACAGAAGTAATATATATGCACAATCTATATCTTAATTGTTAAAAGGACAATATGATTGCTGATTATGCTAAAGATTTTGTAAAATTGTCAGGGTGCAGAAAATATTGCAGACGCTTTAAAGGAAAATAGGTCATTAACGACATTAGATCTGGTAAAAAGAGCTTGTTTGTGTTTAGTTTTTCTATTCTGTCACCTGCTTTGACATTTCCCGTACAAGAATGGAAAGATTTGTATGGGATATGACTAAACTGATTAATAGTACAGGGGGGAAATAACATTCATGCTGTTGGAATTGGTGCTGTTGCTAAAGTTTTGAAAGATAATTCCGTTATTACCACTGTAAGCCCCAAAATTTACTTTCTGTTTGTTTCTATTTTGTCTTTTTTATACTGACACAGGTTTTATCGCTCCTTGTTAGTTAGAACTTAGTTATAATCCCATTGGACCAGACGGAGCCAAGGCCTTGGGCGAAATTATCAAGTTTCATGGAAATGTAAAAACCCTTAAACTTGGTTGGTGCCAGGTAAATGTTCACCATGTGTATCCTGTAAATTGCTTGAAATACATAACTTCTATACGTAATACAATTTCCTATACAGATAGGAGCAAAAGGGGCAGAGTTCATTGCAGATGCTTTAAAATATAATACAACAATATCAGTTCTGGACTTGCGGGCAAATGGACTAAGAGATGAAGTTTGTTTTTCAGTACCTTGAATCATTTTTCTAACTGATCCTCTTTTCAATCTTCATTATTCAATGTTTTATTTAAAAACTATTGCAGGGTGCAATGTGCCTGGCTCGGAGCTTGAAAGTTGTTAATGAAGCTCTGACTTCACTAGATTTAGGATTTAATGAAATACGGGTATGAAATTATCTGTCTCTTACACTCGCAGGGAACTTTTCGTAATAGTCTCTAAAAACCGTCTTTGTCAAACTCACAGGATGATGGAGCATTTGCTATTGCTCAAGCACTCAAGTCTAATGAAGATGTGGCTGTCACATCTCTAAACATTGGCAGTAACTTCCTTACCAAATTTGGCCAGGTACTATTTTCTGTCTTTCCTTTTCCCTAGGCTTACTTTTACGTTATCTTTCTTTTTTGTTATTATATTTTCATGGATCTGATTATACGTCTCATACAGAGTGCTTTATCCGATGCAAAAGACCATGTGTTTGAGATGACTGAAAAGGAAATCGCCATTTTTTTCTAAAAAACGCATTGCGTAGCAGTATATATGATTGTCATATACTGCGACAAGTTTTTGTGTAGTTATTTTGCATATTAGCTGTGGTAAGTACTGCCTAGAGTTTGTTCACGCCAATTTTGAGTTCTTACCATTAATTTGTTGAGGTATAGGAATTTTGTATTAATGCATTATCCTTTAATTTTTAGTTGTTTGTTGCATATTCTTCCTATCCCTTTGATGAGATAGTTGACCCTCAATAATCATATTATTATTAACAGCAGAAAATTTTAAAATATATTCTTAAGTGGTCTTAAAAGTTTTCTAGAGAGGTTGATTTCCAAACAAAAGATGATGCATATACTACATGAATATACTCTTGGAATTTCATTCATAAGAAATTCGATACTCTAATTAATATAAAATATAAAAGATATAAATATTTATAATATTCTAACTTAGAAGTATTTTGTACAATTGGGCTCCATGCAAATATACAAACAATAATTGTGATAAAGGGCCATTCCATATTTGATGACTTTAGTGTATTAAAGAGATATTGTAATCAAAGGGATAATAATTATTTGAGAAAGAGATATTTGACGACTTTATAGTGTATTAGAGAGATAATGTAATCAATGAGATAATAATTATTTGAGAAGGAGATATTTGACGACTTTAGTGTATTAAAGAGATAATGTAATCAAAGAGATAATATTTTTTGAGAAAGATAGGGTTATTAAAGACGGGTCCATTGCGTCTTTGCACTTGTGCATAGAGGATATTCTGATTTTGATTGAATAAAGACATTGGGATTAAAAGAAAGAGAATCCCTGGCCAATATCATGATTTTCAGAGGATTGTATTGAGATGGAAATATGTCAGGTTTGATATGGTATTATGTGCTAGCCTGCCTGCATTAGGTCCATATTAAAACTATTCAAACCTTGTTATTTAATCAAGAAAATTGTTCACTGCACCCTATATATTACCCACTTTGGTAAAATTTTAAAAATACCTAGTGTGTATGGATGAAGCATTTTAATGATAGAAAATAATTTTTTGAGGAAATTTAAAATGATTTGATTAAAATCTATTGTTTGGATAAAAAAATGGAGAATTGTTAAAATGATGTAAATATATAAAATATTTTATTCAAATTAAATTTAAGGAATTTCAAATAACACAAAAAGGAAAGAATTTGAGATTGTATCATAATTTGAATGTTAAATTGTGTATTATTAATTTTTTAAAATTTGTAAAATGGTTTTCATATTTTATGAAAATTATAAATTTATCTCTAAAAGTTTCAAAAAATTGCAAATAAGTCCTTAAATAATTTTCAAAATTTACAAATTGGTCTTTTAAAATTTTCAAAAATTGCAAATTGGTTCTTATTTTTCATATTCTAAATTTGGTCCAAGTAATGTTAGATATCTCCTTGTTATTCTAAATAATTTTACTTGTTATGTTAGATATCTCCTTGTTAATAATTTAGAATAACAAGTAAAATTATTTTCCCTCCTTAAAAATATTTCATCCAAATACACTCTAAAAATGTGTTTGAATGAAGTAATTAGAAATTTTTAAAGAATTCAAAATTCTAAACAATTCAAATGATTCAATTGAAATTCATTCGATTTTAAATTTTTTTGTTTAAATTGAGTATTAAACTGATTAATTGTTAAAATAATTCTAATAATTCTTGAAATATTTAGAATAATAAGTAATGTTTAATCAGTTTAAATTTGGTTCTTATTTTTCATATTCTAATAATTCTAACAATTTATAAATATTCAAATAATTCTAATATTTATTCAAGTAATGTTAGATATAACATTAAAACACATCAAAATGTATCTGAATTACATCAAAATGTATCTGAATTACATTCGTAAAAATAATTTACTAACATTACTTCACAAAATTATGCCACCACTTAAACACATTGTATGATAAAAAGGTTGGAGTGCTAACAATAATTGATGATCTTCCAACAAAATTATGCATATCTCATTTTACACATATTTGATTTATTGATGTGAACGTTGAAGTGCTAATTTTGTAAGTACCAATCTCCCTGATTGTTAAAGATATTATCACTATATTACAAGTCTTTCCATGGTGGCCATCGTCAACCTCTTACTCTTTTTATTTTCTAGCGCGGAATAGTGACGTCGTCTGTGGAAATCGTCTTCTGATTCTTATTAATTACCATCACAATTTTCCGAACTCTTTTGTTGCGCCACGAGAGCTATTTTTGTTGGCTGTTCTAGGCATCGTTATCGTTTATGTTACCAAGTTCTGATCACTATTAGCCTCTTTGAAATTGTTTCCTATAACCACCTCAAATAGTATGATCTTAGGAGACTTGATCTATGACGCACTATAACACAATTCCCACACCTGATGTTCGATCATCACTCCAGATGCTCTAAGACACTCTCGTGGCGTTTCTAAATCTTATGACAAAAGAACCTCCTTAATAAGAAGATGTGCATGCCTCGATCCTAGTTGTTTCACTAGTCAGAACATACCACATTCTAATTTCTCACCTGATTGAATAAATACCTCCTTCTCTACCATATTCTAAAATTTTGAACCAGATTTGTCATACAAACCTCCAACAACTCCAAACAGCATTGGGAATGCACATGCTAATGAATCCCAAAGACAACCAAGAGAAAGTGAATCAACAAACATTCCTTCATAAATTGCAACTCACATAGAGGTACTACAATATGGCCACTCTGGAGCTGCCTCGAGTGTTTCTAACATCAATGTCACTTCATAGCAAAAACTAGTGCCATAGTTGCTTGAAAGACATCATTGTCTCCATCACGAACATAATTATGCTACTCATGACTCAGATGAGGTCGATAGATGCCATTACCCACATAAGGCCCATCATTCTTAGAGGTCCCCTTCACATAATTCTAAGAGGGAAAACAAGCACGATTTTAATCACCACACCCCATCTATCATAAAAATAAGACATTAGTCAAGTGCATTATTAAATGTGAGATCTCCAAACTCATAGAGAAGCCACCAAAGTTGGATAATTATGATGGAATTGGAGAACATGTGAGATCCACCAGAAGAAGAAAGAGACACTAAGAGAATACATTGACAAATTTACTAAAGTAGCAGTTTAGGTAGGAGGAAAAAATGATGGCACGAGGTGTTGGTTCTTAGAGAAATGGTTGAGGGTAGGTTGTATGTTTTATGAAAAACTGGGTTTGAATGGTGTGGATAGAATGGGTAACATCCTCACTCGAGTCTAAACCTACATCAACTTTGAAGAAAAATGTTGGTTGAAGATATGGAAAGAAACAAAGTTCTAGAAAAATAAGTAATGGGAGGTAGGGAAATGACATGCATTATGAGGAAATGAATAGAGAAATGCGCAAAGGACAACGATCAAGGTTTTCAAGTACACTCCAATGAACATATCTAAAGAAATAATTATACATGAATGTGTGAGTACTAAGTACAAGGATTCTGGGGTGAAGTTCCCTAACCTAGTTGAAGAATCAATACCGATTGACAAATCAAACTTATGTAGATTCTACAAGAGTCACATACATGAACCAAACGAGTCCATCCACTTGAAGAGTTTGATATATGAAAACTTGATAGGTACTCCTAGGAAGAAGTAAAAAAAGAGAATTTACAAGAGATGTATGGATTCACCCTAAAGACAACCAAGACAAAGTGAATCCCAAAGAAGGAAACACTTCTCTTATTGGGGTAATACCACACCACAAAATATAATTGAGGTTGTTAAGTTCTTAATTAAAGAAATGACAACAACAAAGAGGAGGAAGCCAGAAAGGAAAAACAACAATTCATAGCATCCATATTGAGGCTTTCACTTCACTACATCCATTACTAGAGGATTCTTATAAAGGAAGATGACATCCAAGATGATTGTGAAGTAGAATATTGTAGAGTTGATGGAGATAGATGGGAAGACGAAATTGTAATCAAGAGACAAGCCTTAGTGACCCATTTTAGGCTTCAAATATAATGAAAAGGTGGTTGGTATCCCCAATGAGATATTTCTTTGGTGATTATGACCACCATGGCCAAATGTGATGTATCAAGGATCCTCGTAGATGAAGAAAGCTTGTGCAATATTATGTACACAAAAATTTTCGAAGGCTTAAAGAAGGAGAATTTATCTCCATACATGGACAATTATCTGCAAAACTTTAATGATTTAGTAACCCACCTTTGGGATTAAGTAGAGCTTATGATGACCTTTTGTGAAGGGAGAGACACTAGGACAATGGATATCTAATTCCCGGTGATCCTTTACAAAATTGTTTACAATTTCATTTTAGGGGAGACCATTCTTGACAAACCTTGACAATGTTGCTTCCATTGTAAACTTGAAAATGAAATACCACAATATTCACGATGAACGATTAACCATATATGCAGATCTAGTAGGAGCCTAATGGTGCCACAAAGACTTGGAGAGGAACATTGACATCACTATCGTCTAACAGAGGGAGAAGGTAGAAGAGTATCGTTATTCTAGAAAGCCTCCCCTAGACGTCAATGTTGCAAAATTATACCTCGTTTAAAGGAATCAATATTCGATGATAAACATATCTTAGATAGACATCTCTTTGTCGAGGTTAGGATGAAGATCCCAAGGTCAATCCACGCCGGTGACTTCATAGCCATCCAACTTAACGATAAACCAATAAGAACATTGAATATTTGAGCCAATCTCCTATATTTTATAGAGGAACAACTCATCAAGTTCCTTAAATATAATACTAGCCAATTTTTTTTTTCACATGAATAGATTTTTGACATTAACCACAACATTTCCTCTCATCAATTGAATATCAACCCATCCATAATGTATGTTTCCTAGAGGAGACAACTTCAGTCATTGAAGAAAGCTGAAGATACTACAAACATTGTCAAGGGACTTGTGTATGAAAAATTCATTTCAAAATCGAAGTAAACATCGGGAAAATGACACATGTGCGTCTATTACACTGACCTCA